AACTCTACGCGTTCACGAGTGCAGCGCGTGCAGGGCGGACAAGGCGGCAACAAGGCAAGCCATTACCGCCTTCAACCGCGGTGTAGAGGGGCGGCAGCAGGTGGTGGACAACAAGGGGCAGGGAGAGGAGGACGGCGGAGAGGACGGGGCCTCGGTTGGGAGCGGGGCAGCTGGTGAAGCAGGCAAGAGGCGTCGCTGCTGCGTCGTGCGCGTTCTGTCTGAGCTCAAGGCGTTCAGGGAGGAGCTCAACATGGTTGAGAAGCTCTTCAAGGCACACGGGCACCTGTGCATCTTCTTGCCGAAGTACCACCCAGAGCTCAACGCAATCGAGCGATACTGGGGGTACATCAAGTACCTCCTCCGCCTCCACTGCGAGTATTCCCTTCGCCACATGCTCCAGGTCTTGCCCGGCGCGTTGAGCGGCGTACCCGCACGGTTTATCCGCGCATGGAGCAGGGTGACGTGGCTGTACATCGAAGCCTACGACGAGGGCCTGGAGGACTACCTCGAGTACCGCGATCTCAAGGAGTGGGGGAAGCACCGAGAAGCCACCGCCAGGGGAGATGCCGTGATTCAGGCGAGGGGGGCGGGGAAGACGCCGGAGCAGAAGAAGGCAGCCGAGGCGAAGGCGCTTGCGGCTGCGCAGGAAGTGCGCAAGAAGTCGATGGCAGCGACCAGAGAAGCCTTCAACACGTGAACGAGCAAGACAGCCTCCCGGGAGGAGCAGCTACGGCTGTGGATTTTGCGCAACACGATGAATTTTTTGAGGAAATGGTTGGGCGGGCACGCTCAGGCGTGAGTGGGGAGGGTACGTATCTATATGTCGCGGTGTGTTGTAGTGTTGGTTTCTCGCGTTTAGGCGCGGTAGAGGCGTTCGTCATGGTCACCAACTCAACGCTATAGCTGTCTCTCTTGGTATCGGACTTGCTTAGAGAGAACGGATGTGATTGCTGCATGCTTTGTTTGCAGCACCTTCACCAGCCAGGGGTTGAGTAGAAAGTAAACGGCGGTATTGTATGTATGAATGTACATATGAAACGTGTAAATAATGTAAGTATGGATTGACAACGGTTTAATTGATGTTCTGAAGGCATATACGTGTAGAAGGGAGGGGTTGAGGGGGGTCGTGGTGTACTCTGGGGGCTCCGTGGGGTCATGAGGGGGGCTCCGTGGATCATTATGGCCAAAAATGTCGCATTTCACCCAATCACCAAAAACTCATCGGATATCGACGAACTCGACGCCGCGGTCACGCCCAAAGTTGTTTCACTTTCCAAATCGTTTTTTTTTCGAAAGATATCGCGAAAAACAAGATTGTGAATATTTGCCCGAACGGACTATAAATACATTAAGTGGATTTGGAGCCCTTTCTATCTTGCCGGATGAACCACAGGAATGGCGATGAGTGTATGTTGCAGCAAGTCATCATCAGTGTAGACTATAGTCTAGATACTCGAAGCAAGTCCGTTGTACCCAACCGGCTTTCCTCCACTCACTGAAAAAGACTCCCCGCACATACATCACGTTCGACTGAGAGTATATCTCGAACGGGTAGTCTTTCTGTGTTGGTACATATTTTTTCTAATAGGGCAACCTACTCAGTTTGTAGGCAGCACATGGACTGTCAAGAAGGGCGATGATGGGGTCAGTCATGGCTACCACCTGCAGAAAATATAGCCGATTGATACACAGATTCCAGGTGGCTAGACACACCGGTGTCGAATCCTCACCTACCCTTACTTTCTCCAAGCCTGTGACCGTGCGTTCTCTCTCTCTCTCTCTCTCTCTCTCTCTCTCTCTCTCTCTCTCTGCCCAATGCCTCGCATCCCCCATAGGCACGCGAGCGTGCCTTTGCTGCTGATGATGCTGGGGCTGCTGCAGGGTGGATGAGGAAGGGCCACTCACCACCATCCCGGCAGATTTCCCCGGCCCAGCCAGGAGCAAGCTACTGCGACGACCACGCCCAGCAAAATGCAAGCAAGCTCAGACTCGTGTGGTGAGGGAGATTGGGCGGCCGGGAACGGGCGGAGAGCTCAGGATAGTTCGCATCGTCCTCGTTTGATTCGTTCGATCGTTCCCTTAGATTCGGATTGTTGTGTGACTATCATAGCGCCGCGGTCGATCTCGGAACACTGCAAAACATTAACTTGGACAGCATCGCTGCCGTATCAACCTTTAATATTTCTGACTGTCGTGCACGACGCCATCTGCTGAGTGGTCTACCTGTGCGGGTATAGTTGCGATCGCACATCATGCGTACGTAAGCTTATTGTGTGTACTACTAAAGCGGGACGGGTATAACGCGAAACTGCTGCTCTTCGCGGGTGCACATCGCTCATACAGCATAGGACAATGAGAAGCGACATGTGAGATTTAGTCTACTGCTGTCCGATTGATACTGTAGTAAAAAAAAAGAAACGCGGCGGGTTTGAGCGGGTGGGGAGAAACTGCTGCAGTAAATAGTAAGAACGATAGACATCACGGACGAACAACCCCGTTGCTCAGCCCAAACTGGATAGACGCAAATGCCTATTGAGACTATATGTATGTACTTCGCTCTCATTCTCACGAACTGCTTCAAAGTACATATTATTGGCGTGTCATCAGCGAAGTCACTCAACAACCAGTAGTTTTTTTTAAGTAGTCCAAACATAATCTAACAGAAAGACTATCCGTTCGAGATATAACCTCAGTCGAAAGGGATGTGGTGAAGTCTTTCCAGCAAGTGGATTGAAACCAACTTGAGACTTGGCTTATTTTGAGTTTATTTTAGTCGAACACTGAGTTATCAGTAAATAATGCCAATTGGAGCGAAGAACAAAGGCATATGTATAGATAGGCGGATACATATCTTGATTTCACGTGGAATGTGGCCTTCACAGGGAACATGGCGCAGTGTCGTTTGACAACTTGCTGTTTTTACAAGGTAGACTACATTTTCGCTGCTGTTTTAGGCGACTTGAGTATAGACTGCATATGTACAGCTGTAGGACTGTTGTGCTTTTTTTTTTTTTCTCCCATCATTGGATTTGTCGTCTGCCCCTCTGGCCCCTATCCTCCACTTCCACTAGCTAGACGACCCAACCGGGGTCACACAGGAGAGGGGGGGGGGCTCCTGCGGTTCCTGCCTGAGATATATTTATCGCGGGAAGGGTCCAGCAATCCCTTCCCTCGCGACTCATGATCAAGTTATATGTACACGCACCACAATTTTTTTTTAACTTGGGTGGAACGCGGATTTCTGTTCGATACGGTGTCAGGGGTACCAGGGAAGACGGGGCCGAGTTTTGTTTGATTTCGGGTGGATGAGGTTGGGGTTTTGTTCGTTTTTCTCCATCTAAGGTTCGTGCCTAGAGTTCAGCTGTAGGGTTTCAACCAAAGTTTTGTTGACTTAGAGGCAAACATTCCTAGCTATTGGGCATCGAGTTAATTTGGCTTGGCATGACGGCCTTTCTTTTCGATCGACTTTTTATGTATGTCTGCATTTATCTGCAATTGTCGGAGGGCAAACAAAATAAAAATATTTTTTTAAGAAATGTTGTGAGTTTCAACAGTTGGAGTTGTACTGTAGATATAAGTGTTTTTTTTCTGTTGTTTCTCGATAGGTACTCCCCAAACCTGAAAACCTGAAAATCCCAAAACCTGAAGAACAATTGAAACAAAACGCCCCCATACACTAGTCTATGTATTCAACCGACATTTTTGAAGAAATGTTCGATGCACCAGAGGGACGCAAATATGCCATGCATCCACACCTACCTGGCAGTCCCGCCTATACAGACCTGCACTAGCACCGTTTACCACCCAAGAGCGACCTCACCCTGCTCCAAGCACTACCGACCTACACAGCGCCTACCCACGCAAAAACAACCTATGCATAGCACCTTTCAAGCAAAAACAACCGAGAAATTCTCCGATCAACACCAACCTAGCGCCCATGCCGCCACACCAACCTAAACCTTTGCCACCCAGCGCCAGCGTAGCATCTATTGGCTGCATTAGATTTATTGTTGTTCCCGACTGTTGCTGCGGCGCGGAGCTGGCCTGGGTCATCACCGCGAGAAACAATCAGCAGCCCATGTCCTTCGCCGACCATGAAGTTCATTTTGGTTTGAATACATCGAGTTAGTTAATCGTCTACCTTGAAAAAAAAAAAACTGCCACTCACTTTGGAGAGCGAATCGAACTCCAACCTGCTACATTCTATAGAGCAGTGTCCCATTGTTCAGGAAGATTTCGAAGGAACACGCAAAATCGTCGGAGAATGAAGCACTTCTACCATTATACGAAGCAAAGTGTATGTAGGAAGTGAAACTTTGAGCCGAATGAAGCGTGTGTTCGTGGACTTTAGCCTTGTTCGCATGGTTGCGAGGAAGCTACAAGGAAACGAAGAGCGAACTCGAGCAACAGCGTGAAAGTAGCTAGTAGGTGTGTCGACTTCGTGTAAGGCCATTGGTTGCACAGCCCGTTCGACACTACCGACCAATGAATCACGCCGACCGGGGGCTGAAGACCGCGGGCAACCCCCCCCCCCACACACTTCCCGCAATTTATTAGTAAGGTGTACCAGACGATGTGACACGTCATTACCAAGAAGGCAATGAAGACTGCCAATCCTGTTGGGTCTCAACTCTCCGTCTAATGCTCACTACTTGTAGCCGTACACTGCAAAACATGAGGACCTACGAACAAAACCGCCACCCTGTTTGCAACATCGGACGGATATGTAATTTAACACTTGTTTGTTCCTCAGCCCCCACCCGCGGAGGCTACCGCGCCCGCCCGCGGTAGTCAGAGTTGAATGCGGTGACTAGGTTAACCACGGACCGATGATGGCATAAAATATTTATTTGATCAACTTACACCGTGCAGCACACACGAAACACAAAGAGGAATAAAAAGGACAACTATATGAACAGAGGCAAGATACAAGTGCGTACTCTCCATTCATGTATATATATTTCTCGCCCTCCCTCTCTCGATCGGCCCCGCACATGGAACCCCAACGGCATGCCCCCTACAAACATTGCCCGGATCGGATCTTGTATCCAAGCACTCCAAACAAGAGTGCACCAAGGAGAACACACACCCAAGCAGCACGACATAACAAAATCAAGGAAAAACGAAGACCAAAAGACGCAAGCATTCGGTGAAAAATTGTGTCAAAAACAGCCAACACGCAGATTGCAAGAAAGCAGGCATACGCAGGAGTATCTCGACGGCAGACGCCTACAATGAGACAACGGGCCCATCAAAGAGAATGGAAGAAAAATTCATCTTGTGGCCACTCATCCCGGTACTCTTGTCAAGGGCGTACGACCAACGGTGAGTCACAGCGATACTCCGCAAATCGGCCCACGTCAAACAGCCATTGCCATCAATGAGTAGAGCTGTTTCTGTCCAACTCCCCTCCCTCCTACCTTGCAACCAACCCGAATTCAAACGCAAAGAACTTGAGGAGGGGGGATTCAACCCAGCAAAGATCGCTCCCGCTTTCCCAAAACAAACACGCCCCTCCACCAACTTGCCCCGCCAGAGCACCCCCGGTTGAGCGACCATAGGCTGCGTGGACGGCTGTGGAATCAGCACACAGTCAGCCTACCTCCGGCGTAGTACTTTACAACATCGACAACTTTGAGGAAGACATTCCCTGGCCACTGCGACCCTCAGACCGTGTGTCGATGACCACCTTGCCGACCACCTTCCGAGCGCCCATGTCCTCCAGCGCGCGTGGTGCTTGGTCTAGAGGGTACACGCGTGAAATGGTGGGTTTCACCTTTCCCAGGCTGACCAGCCGTACGATCTCGACCATCTGCTCAGCGCTGAAGATCGGGATGACGGAGGACGATTTCGGGAATTTTACTTGTTTGCGTCAGCTGGCCCAGGGTGGTTGATGAATTTTTCGTGCGTTGCTTATACCATGGTAGGTCGTGCAAGACATAGGTCAGTGAAAACTTAACGGTGGCGCTCACATCGGTGCGCAGGAGGAAGGCACAAAAGTCCAACCTTAGGTTGTATCTGAGCGGGCTGCAACGCTTCATGAGAGCCAGGGACCCCGCAGGCGAGAAGAAAGTCGGGGTTTCTCGTAGAGAAGCACGAACGGCTTTGCTGCGCCTGGACAATCCCAACGCACTTGAATGCCAACACAATGCAACGCGGTTCAAGGGAACCGCTGACTCTATTTGGTACGCATACCATCTTCCCAAAAACGTTAACCCTCGCGCAAGTCCTTTGAATTAACCTTTAACCCTTTCGATCCCCCATCGGCATCACGCTTCACACCTCTTCTCTGGCTCTCGCTCTCTCCACGCCCCCCAGAACACCCCCATGACGCACGCCTCCTTCAGGAGAACCAGGTTCAGAGGCGGGGCCGGGATGGTTCCGGACGCGAACCCTACCACCAGGTATCGCCCTCCGACGGCCAGGCTTCTCACCGCCGTCTGCAAGCGCAAGGGGGGCGGCGTCCGGTCACAGGGAAGAAACACGGCATGGGAATTAAGCAGCAAGGGCCAAAAGCATAGAAAAAAATTGCACAGCACTAGCAGCATCAGCAGCAGGAAATTTCATGCTTGGTCACCCAAGCTGTGTCGTCGCCACAGCTGCGTAGAGCGCGTACTTTCCAGCGCAAGGTTCATAGGTCCACTCGGGCAACTTCACACGCCCGGAGGGCCTCACCTCGCAGTCAGCCCCGCCCACGTTGTCCAGCACAACATCTACACCCCGTCCCCCTGTCAGCCGCTTCAAAGCCCCCCGCCAATCTCCACCTCGCTGGTCGCCACCGTTACCGTTTCCCTGTCGGTAGTTGAGAAGGAAGTCGGCGCCCGAGTCTCTGCAGGCCTGCAGCTTTTCCCGGGTAGACGCTGCGGCGATTACGGTAGCCCCGGCCGCCTGCGGGTATTATGGTGTTGATGGTTCTCCAGGTTCATTCAAGACTTACATGCGCGGGTAACACTCCTCCTCAATCTGTGTTCCTTGCTTGCAATCCCGAGGGGCGACTCGAGATGACAAGAAAACACTCCTGCGATAATGAAAAAATGGTGCATTCGCTCTCTTGGAGTCTTGCCTCGATATTATCAAGACGTGACGGCGAATCTATTGATACAGAACTACCAAAGAAAATGAGACAGCCCAAATACGCAACTATTCTTGCGGCCACACCCTTTGTGTGCGACCACCTCTGGGGTATCACGAAAACACTGCTTACTGCATGTCAGTGCCGTCACATTGAGCGGAGGCAGCCTCGCCAATACTCCGTGGCTTGACTGCGTGTCGTGGTCTATGAAAGTGAGAGACGATGGCAAAAACCGTGTGAATCATGGTGGGCGAACCGATGTGTCAGCGAGGACGGCTGGGTGAGACCCGGGCCAAAAACGCGACATCAGGGAAAAAAGTGGTGGGGTATGATGTACGACACCTTCGCCAGCTGAACCGCGGCTAGACCCACACCACCAGAGGCACCCAGCACGAGGACAAGCTCCCCTCTACGGAGATTCGCGCGGATCTGTGTCGAAAAAAAAAACACGTTTCCCAGCGTGCAAGTGAACGCGAGACGGGACGCATCAGCTGTGGACAACGCAGGGACCGCAAATATTTCAACACGTCCCCTGGTGTGGTACCATCTCGGACGGGTAGGTTTCTCTGTGATTGTGTGTACATGTTCGAAGAAAAAGGCAGGGACTCCGTAAGCATACCTGCAAACTCTATTGCACCCCGCGACACTATTTTAGGACCGCAGTCCATACCGCCAAGCGTGAAAATACGTCGAACACAACCTCTACCTGCAAACTCTAATGCTCCCCGCGGTACCAGTCTATACATCCAAGGATGAAATTTAGTCGAAATATGTACAACCCCTACTTGCAAACCCTTTTGCTCTCCGCGACATGAGTCCATGAACCCAAGCGTGAGTGTGCGTCGAAATGCCACCTCTACCTGCTAACTCTAGTGCTCGTGGTCCCCGCGACACTAGTCTATACACGCAAGCATGAAATTTCGTCGAAATACGCGACCTTACTCTGATGCAGCCTGTTTCTCTCTCACCCTCAGCGCGTAATCTGCCGTGCCGTAGGCGACGAAGAGGCAGGAGGCTGTGAAGAAGTCCATGCCCGACGGTAGAGGAGCGACGCTGCCCTCTCGGACGACGACGTTGGTCGAGAAGCCGCCAAAGCCGACGAAGCTCACCACGCGATCTCCGGGCTTGAACCTAGCTGCGTAAGGACAGGCGCACGTGGGTGGTGCTCCCACGTCAGGAGGGAGATAAGGAATGCAGGGTTCGTGATTAGAACAACCGCCATGCGGCATGGCCTATCCACCGTGTGAACGGCCAGGGTGGAAGACTTGCCGTGTGCGGTGCGTGAACATGTTCGCACGCGGCAAGGAATGGCCAACTGAAGTTAAAACAGCAATGAGGGTTGGCAAAACGCGGACCGCCTCCGCGAGAAGTTAACTTAATGAGGGGATAGAACAGGGAGTGCAGACCCTATGCCGAAAACTATCCACAGCCCAACATCCCCGATTGCATGATTTCCAACATGTGTACTTCGTAGAGAAACCCTACGAACGCTATTACTGCGGACAAGAAGCTCACCTACCTGAGCCCGCTCCAACCGCGGTGACGACGCCTGCGATCTCTCCCCCCGGCGCAAAAGGAAGTTTGGGCTTGGTCTGGTACTTGCCCTGCGCGTAGGCAACACAAGCGCACAACAGCATGAGGGAGGGGCGTTACAACACAAAATGGCTTCAAAACTCACAAACGGCATCGGTTAAATCCGACAAAGCAGTGTGGGGTACAGTTGGCGCCCGCAGTGAAGAAACGCATATTTAAGGTCCAGCCTCGAATTCATATTGTGAGCTATAAACTCAGCGTATGTCATTCAGTTTCTTCTTTCAAGTTTCTTATTGTTTCGTGCAGCAAAATCCTGCTGAATTTCTTAAATCGGCAATTTTTTATTTCTCTGCTTGCATGCTACACAACATTCCAAATATACAAATGATTTGCACTACTTTCTTCGACCCCCGTACTCAACCCCGATTCTCACTACCGACGGCTGCACGTAACGCCACTCCCTAGAAGCGACATGTATCCAGCGGCAACGTCTCGCTATCGCTACAAGGTCCTGTACCCCCCTCATGAGTGAGGGCTGAAACTAAACAAATGCATAAACACCGCATGATGCCTCACCCGCACGATGACGTGCCAACAACGAAAATTACCCCGTCATTATGTTGCAAGCTCCGTGAGGTGAACATTGGGGGTTGTCACCCTTTGCGCCCCCTGCTCCCTCCTTTGGGTCTGCCTCTACGAGAACCCACGCCCCAATTGCGGCGTCTTCATCCGTGCTGTACGACTCCAACGGCATCTTCATGCTACGCGTGCTTTCGTCACAGTGCAGGATGACGCGGTAGTCGTACTCCTGCCGCGAAGCGGGGTGAGATCTGCGACTAATTACCCCTCCGAACCAACCCAACCCGAG